TTAGAGTGAGTCAGCAGTAAAAGGACCGGAGGATAAGTAGAAGAGTGAGAGGCAGAATGAAAGGGGGCAAGATGGAAGAGAAAATGGAAAATGGGATTGAAGAGAAGAGCAGGATAGGAAATCCAGACTGAGAGTTGCAGTGTCTCCCTGCTTGCATTTGTCAGACTGAGCCACAGAGATAAGAGGCGTTTCTCTGCAGAGGCTTCCCCCCCCGTTTCTCGCTCTTTGTTCATTTTACTCTCTCCAAACATCTATTTGCTCCTCGTTTGTTAGCGCCACAAAAGTATTCACCTAAAACCTGAAAAGTTAAGCTTCTGCTTTGATATGCAGCATTTTGACTGTTGCCGCCTGGTGCTTTGATTACCTTGAGCCTCTGATCTTGTCAGAGAAGCAGCTCTGGTACAGATGGAGTGCAAAAAGGCTTTATAAGAACTTAAAAGGCTACAGTTACAAATAAATAAATGGTGAAATAACTTGTTAGCAACTAATAAAATGATCTTTTTTGTCATTTTTTTAAAACCTTTGTTCGATGATCATCTTTGTAGCCTCATTTTTTGGGGGGGGCACAAAATTATCACTAGGTTAATCTATGAAGCAAATAACCATTCGGTATTCCTTGAGTTGATGAGAGACAGTTGCAGCCACACCTACATGTATTCCTTAAACATCTGCTCTTTGTGTTTAATGTGCATGTTTCTGCCTGTGTAACTGCCTTACTCAGATTCAACAGTAAGCATTATTCTTCCTGAATCATATCTGACTCATGTTTAAACTCCATTTGTTTAGGGCAACGCTGTTTGAAATGCTGTGTGAATTAAACACACAAATACACACACGTCTAACTGAAATGCTGAAACATGAGGAAACCATGAGACTCTTTACAGCCTCACTGTCTTCTTGCTCATTCATCACTAGGCCATAACCATAACTGAAACATGGGGGGAAAAAAGACGTTTGTTTCAGGTAGCTACTTGAGTTACAAGAAATGCCACACTGGACAAAGGACACTGTAGGGAGGGACTGCAGATGCACACTGGAGACTCTGTGGAGGTACGTTCAGTGAAACGCGAACGGCCCTAGAGTTAAAACACTGTGCACGTGTCAGTATTTGCTTCTGTATTTCTGAATTGACTGAATGAATATGAAATCAGATTCAGTTTAGACGGTTCAAGGTATGTTCAGTTAATAAAAACAGGGAGAACCTGAAATACATCCCATGATTAATGTGCCAGAGTTCATTGTGTTCATAAATTTGAGAACTGCATGTCTGTAAAGTGACAAAACAGTGAGGACAAGCAGCTTGTAAAAACAACTGCTATATGATTCTGATCAGAGTTAGTTATATTAGTTTTAATTTTGAATTGTTAGTTTTGATTCAGTTGAGTTTGAAGTGTTTTAGAGCGACTTGGCTTATCTCAGTGTATTTATTTATTTGGTTGAAAATGTTTAGTTTTGGTTTAGTTTTTGTTGAAGATGCACTGATCTGATATTTGGATTAAATATCGCTTTGACTTGAAAGACTAAATGACATGAAGGAAGCTAAGAGCAAGGGAGGAGCAGTTTGGTGACGTTTCAAGTGACTCAATTTTATTTTTATGTTGGCAGATGCTCTCATTTTAACTTCAAGCTTCAGTCAGATGATTCAACATGACTGAAAAGTTTTTACTATAGCCATGTAACACAGTTTTTATTCTACATATAGTAGGGTTGTCAAACATAAGGCCCGGGGGCCAGATTAAGCCTGGCAAAGACTCCAGTCTGGTCCACTGGATGGCTTTAGAAAATGTGAAGGAGGGCACAAATATTGAACTTCAATGTATTTTCATAAGTTTTACAACTTTTAAAAGGCCTTCCTGATTGCCATTCACTCTGCACCAAAACTATAGATAAACAATAAAAATTAACACACTGAAAAGTTCCTGTTTTTTCGCTATTTTCTATAGAAATTTCTTTTTTCTTTTTTCTTTTTTAACAATTGGTCCACTGGGGCAAAAAATGGACATTACTTAATGTGACACTTGTGACTGTGATACATTGAGAAAACAGCCACAGGCTTAAATGTTTGCAGTGGCAACAGTATATAAACTCTTATGGAAACTTAATTAATGTTATACCTTGTAGTAACATCCGCAGGCTACTCGGCAACCATCCTAACATTTGACTCGGTGTCAACTCAACAAAATACAACGTCAACAATTTAAATAAACATCTGCCATCACCATGTCAACACGTTCAAAATTAATGAGTTTATGTTTAAATACATGGAATGATTATTTGGTTTCGGTATTTAATTGGGTATCAAAAATCGATCGTGCAGTTTTAATTGGTATTGGTGCAAACTACTACTTTCCTGGTATCCTGACATCCCTTTTTTATCATCAGGCTGGGGGTTTTTTATGGACAGGAAGACTAAAATTAAGGATATCAGTTTAGTTTTAGTTAAATGTTGCTTCTCACTGTTGCTGGTGACACTGATATTTACCAATAAAGCATGTGTGTTGGTTTTCAAACACTTCATAATGATAAATAATAATAAAAATATACCTTATATATAATGACAATGGTATAAAAAGCAGGCCCAATTTGAGCAATGATTAAAGCCCAGTGACCATCTGTTTCATCTTGAAAAATGAAACTGTTAAAATGAAAATAGTTGTGTAAGCATCTGTCACAATAATTTAAGTTTAACCCAAGGTGTATGTTATGAGGAAGTGCATTTATGAGAAGCTGTCACACAAAGCGGGTAGATGTGAATTAGCTCACTTGCCCTCGGTCTCGTTTGACATGTGCTATGTGCTCCTGCCAAACAAAACAAAGAAGTTGGCATTAGCTGGCAGAAGTCATATCAAAATCATGCATGCTTTCCTGTAAGTACTGCAGTCAATGACTGTAAGAGATGCGGCAACTTCAAATGACTGCTTTATCAGTCTAAAACCCAGAGATATAAAACAACAAGGAGAAAATAATTACTCTCAATCATATTTTTATCCATTATATACTTAAATAATTAATAAACCATCAAATCTGATGACTGTTTCATCTTTTTGTCCTCAGCGTTGCAATCCACTGATTAATGATTCCCTTGAATTATCATCGTCACCAACAAAAAGAGAAGTTAGTTATCTTTCCCGAAAAGAGGAAACACTGACTCATTTGGAGTTTTACAAGCACTTAACACTCGCTGTCCAATTTACTGTTCAGGTTCGTTATTTCACAGCTTGAGAGTGTTGTGTCTAGAGTGTTTTATGAGTCATCAAACTCGCGTCCAAAGAAAAGAAGGAGGGGAAAAGGACACCATCCTTCTTCAACATAGTGCATTGTCTTTCTCTTAACTGACAGCTTGTGAGCCCACTTGCTGTCGGCTATTGAACGGAGGCATTTCAGCGTGCTGTTTGGCAGACACTCAGCAGGTGGTCTAGCCCCTGTCTGCCATAGGCGGTTGCATTAAAACCCTATTATCTGTTTTTAAAAAGTAACTTTAAAACACTGGTAAATGGTGAGAGCCAGGGGAGCTTCAGCAGCATTCGATTAATATTTATTTTTAAACCTAGAGTACATGATCTCAGTGACGAAGAAGCTACAGTATGAATGGTCCTGTTTAGATAATTGCTTGTTTTGTCTGTCGATTGTTGTGTCTTTTCTCCCAGTAGCAGTGTGTTAGAAGGCCTGGAAGAAATTGTGTAAGAGGAGTGACTGTGACTCCTGGAGATTAGCTTTCATTCACCGAGTACAGCTCAGAACTGCATGTTAATCTAGTTATTCTAGTCCCTGAGAAATACAGGTGCACTGGTACAAATACTTGGCTATGAGACGGTTTTGGTGATGGAAACAAACATCAAATCACTGTAAAAAGCAAATGTGTTAAAGTGTATGCCCTTAAACACATTTGTCTTTTCAGTAGAAAGATCTTCGGAGAATGTTTTCGTTTCTTTTGATCCGGGGGAATCGACAGCCACTTGTCTGCTCAACTAAGAGAGGCCAAATCTCATTATGTAACGTCCAGTCACAGAGCAGCAGGTGTATTCAAAGTGACTAGAGAGTCTGACGTCATGTATATGTTGCCACTGACAATAGAAATAAAACTCCCCTTGCCTTTCTATTTTTGGAGAGTTGAATAAATACGCTCAAAAGTTACAGCAAACACGAACGTGTGCAAAAAAATATCAGGAAGGATTCTCCATGTATTTTAAGTGTGCTGTCTTAAATAAATCATAGCATTTGCAAACAATTTAAATGTATAAAAAGAGAAGTTTGTATATGTGCAGTGGTCATGTGACAGGAAATCTGTAGTTTTGTGGGATGTTATTAATTAACTTTGGCTCATATCAGCTGATGGGAATTTTTAAGTATGAAATGCCGCAAAATGATGATGATAATGATGATGATGATGATTAAATAGATACATTTATTTGACATTTATAAACACAACTGTAGAAAACAACTTTGTCACATTTATCTGCTGTTCTTTCCGTTTCTTTCTTTCTTTTTTAAATAAACTGCACCTGGACATTCACTTCACATGTCTTTTCATCCCTCTCTCTGTCATTCTCCGTGTCTCCTTCCAGCTACCCTAGTTTCCAATTAATCCCATTACCCTCAGGGAGAGATGCTGGGATGCAAAGGTAGCAGAGGGAATATGACAGGAGGAGGGGGGAGACAGGAAAGCAGAGAGAGGAAAAAGAAGAGAGGAGACAGGAGTGTGCAGGCATGACACCAACAGCTGAGCAACACAGACAGGCAAGCTGTGAGGCAGGGTCAACTGCGTGCAACACTCACATTCAAACACACAAACCGGGGGACAATGGACCGCCGCTGAAGCATCACCCCCCTTAACTCCCCTTTAACTCAGCTGTCTTTCCCCCAACGCGTAAACTGCTTTTCTTTCACTAAACCCCAGCTTCTCCCTGCGGACCTCTTTCTGTGTTTTGTTCTCATTCTGTCAAGTCATCTTTTATCACCCTCACATTTCAGCAGGCTTGCTGCACTCCCTGGTCTCTTACCCCGTTAACTAGTGCGGGGAGTCCATGATCGGCAGTCTCCCTCTTTCCACCAGCCAAACCGTGTTCCACTGAAGTCATCCACTCGCCCTGTTTACCAGGGCTAAGTCCGTTGTCTTGGCTTTCACGCGCACAGGTGTTCCCTTCAAAGGCAAGTGTGAGGGCAGGAGGGGGGGAGGCGGAAACGACGGAATAGTCCAAAGGGTGAGTCCCCGGTAGTGGTATAGTCCACGGAGAGGCAGAGGAGCGAGGCAGGCTGTGTCTTTCTCTTTAAAAACACTGCACTGGCTTTTCCCGCACCAGCGCAGACTCTCTCTTTTGACGCGTGCACGCGCAAACACACACACACACACACACACTCTCTCTCTCTCTCTCTGCACCTCACACACTTTCTCTCGCTCACTTGTTCGCCGGCTGACTCGCATTCACACAGCGAGAGCTCGGATCGGGCAACAGTTGTTGAATTCATGGCCCCTCCTCCTTCTCCTCCTCGCTCCCTCCTCCTTGCAGGTGGTCGCTTAGCAACTGGCTGCTGTGGGCGGGGCTTGTGAGAGTTCTCACATTGCTGCACACTCGGCTCTCGGCTGCCGCCCACTCAGGCTATATTTGCATATGAAGCCCGGCCTGCCTAGAAGTCGGACTCCCGGTGAAGAAGAGGCCAGTGCATGTGTGGGCTGTGAAGAGTGGGAGGAAGGTGACGGTTGTCACTAAAACTGAAACAGTTTGCATTCGGTGATGCAGCAGGTTGCATGAGATAGGTCAAAAACACAAGATGTGCTGGTTAGTCATAGCGGAAAAGAAGATCAAATTTAACACAGGAAGCATGAGTGAGAAGGAGGGAGAGGATAGAAAAGAAGCTGGAGGCACTGGTTGTTCATTTCACTTAATGAGGTCAGGAAATATCTTGGCTGTAATGTAATTTTCGAGCAGAGGAGCAGACAGCAGATACAATAAAGTGATTATATGATAGAAAATTAATTTTTAAGAAAAAAAAACCCTCACTGAGTTACTCAGTTCTATGTTGTTAAACAGAATGTTTGGGGGGCTGGTCAGACAAAACAGCCATTGTAGGCAACATACCTCATATGGCTTGGGCTTCAGAAAAATCAGTGTAGGTGACTGACATGTTTGCATTTCATTTATGGGATGTAAAGAAATAAAGCTTGGCGGCACAGAAAATCCTCTCAAAAGTGCATTCTGAGAAAAGATGCTTTTCTTGGTGCCTGCAAAGTTTACATTTCACAGCTACAACGAGTGACAACTTTGAAGATCAGTGAAAATGTATCCAATTCTTCACGTTCATAAGGTGCTTACTTGCTTGCATTCTTAGGTAAAACCTGGATAAATAACTTTAATATGCTATAATTCAATGCTATAACTCTATGCTAAAACTATTTTTGCTTTAACATTTGACAGAACAACTTTTTTTCCAGTCATGCCATTTCCTCTGCACTCTTATGTAACTTCCAAAAATTCTATATATGTCGGGAAAATGGCCTGTGAGTGGGCTCTCTATAACGTGAACCATTATTAGCTTAGCTCCACAGAATATCTGAATCATTCTCACAACTTGCACTCCATGCTTTACTCCTTACTTGTATTGTGAGTCGGCCACTGCCTCAGAGTCTCTTATAAGAGACAGAAATACAGAAACAAACTGCGATTTGGTGTGTTGTTTACTTTTGGTTACTTATTTCTTAATAGTTGAGTAATTCTACATTAAAACTCAACTCAATAGTCTGCTCTGTAGACTGCACAGAAGAATTTGCAGTGTCCCCAAGAGGACTTATGCCAAAGTAAGATTAAAGGAAACTTACCAGCACTGTAATGTAATTAGCTCAGATTGCATAATATTTAACAAATGATGAGAAAAATCATATATTTCTGACTGTAGGATAACAAAGTTCAGAGCCTTTATAGTATATGGGCTGATCTAGCCAGTTCTCATTCCCAGGGAATCAAATACTGCTGTTTTGTCAAAGCTTCTGGTGTCTCAAAGATAAAATCAAGGTACCCTTAGGTGTTGTTTCTGTAACGCACAGAGATATGACAGTATTGAGAGGGTCTCTCACTCCCAGATTATAATATGTGGTCCACTTTTAAATGCAGTGGCTAAGCGTCATATTAACAATTTAAAACAAGATTTATTTTAAACCTAACCAAGTAACAAGCTGATCATTTTTTCCTGTCTTAAAACAGATTTTTATCTCTAGGTGTCCAATATAGAAATAACCAGCATGTGAAGGCACCACTGGCCAAATCTGTGAGATGTCAGAGGCAACTGACAGAACAGCAGTTTTTGACAGCCTGGAATGAAAATGTTTTGAGTGTTTGTTGTTGTAAGTCATAGTGCTATTCTGATCCAGCAAAAAACCCTGAACTACCAGTTTATCTGGCTACATTTTCTTAACAAAAAAGAAAATGAAAGATGAGATGAGCAGTTTTTTTTATTATGCTGCTTCATTTGGCCCAAATCAACAACTACCATTATTATTATTGTCACATGAGAACCTCCCTGGCTGGCTACCTAAAATATAACCAGCTAGTTCCCCATGCAGCCTAAACATAAATCATACTACTGCCACCTATAACAAAAAAAAAATCCCTGCTGATTCAACTTCAGAAAGATGGCAACTCCTCTGTGTCTCTATTTTTAAATGCCTGTGGCTGTATTTCCTTACACAGACATCTAAGCTATATTCTCTAATGATAAAATGGTGATACAGTATCTGTGTGCATGCTTCTGTTTGTATGGTGTTTGCTAAAGTTTCACCACTCCGCGTTTTGTTCTGGTAACTGGACTCAGCAGCTCTTGGCATGAGCTGCAGGCAGCTGAGCCAGATCTTAATCCTGCTAAAATTACAAGGAAATGCCAGTGGACCTATTACCTCCTCACTGTCTTTGACTCTCTCTTTTCCTTGTTGACATATTTTCAGTGTTTCAGTGTGAGCTTTGTGACTCATACTTTGCTTCCCTCTCTGTCTCCCATGCGTGTAGTCTTAGAATAACACAGTGATGAAAAACAAGGGGAGAGGTGGTCAGAAAGAGGCAAAAAGAAGAATAGATATGATTTACATTAAATCAGCCAAATAAATCAGATTATGGGGAAAGGAATGCACCGTATAGTCTTCTCCTTTCTCCTCTTTACTTCTCGAGGATGCTGGCAGTTGCTCAGCCAGTGGTCTGTGGCTATTTGTTTACATGCAATTTGTTAGAGAGTTGGCCCCTTTCCTTCTTTTCAGAGAAGCCATTTACAATTCTATTCATGTCTACCTGCCTCAGCAGCACATACTTAGGGACAAGAGGGTTGGTTTTAACTACATACCTTCACAAAGTGTTATAGTAATACTTTTTAGTAAGGGGAAGATCGAGCTCAAAATCATCACATTAGTTTCTGTAACTGGGTTTAATGGACTGAAAGCAGGTGCAAGATTAAAGCAATTAGAGGAGGTGGAAAAGGGGATATGGTGGTGTATGGATCCAAATTATATTTCTAATGCACAAACACATTGTAGGTATTTAAAAAAAAAAAAAAAAGCACAAACCTAACACCTAACAAATGTGTATGTTGCAGAGTTCAGCTGAAACAGCTCTGTGGGGATTCTCAACCAGCTGCTGGGATTTGCAGTGCAGCCAGATGAATGATAGAGGGAGAGGGTGGGGGTGGAGAAGATAGAGAGAGGGAGTAAGAGGCTGCGGAGAACAAGGGAGGAAAAGGAGAGCACGAGAAGCTCACGAAAAGTAGACGAGGCAGCAGTACTGTTGGCGGGGGGTGGCGGTTGTTGGTGGGCAGCTTATTTGCGCTGAGTGCTTTGAATGCCAATAACTCTGCTGCTAAGTGCAGAAACACAAGCTTTGGACATGGTAAGACCAGAAGAAAACATTTTTTGATATTCAGATTTTATTTCAAAGAAACATACTCCATCATTCTTTTAATCTTTTGTCCCTTTAGGTGGACATCGGGTCTTGTTTGATCGCAGAATGATAGAATGAGGACTGAGTGAAGCTGAATGATATTTCACTGAGCTTTTCTTTTTATTGAGTTTTCATGTTTCATGCTAAAAACAGTTTCAGCCCAGTTTCTCTATGTTATCACTGCTACTTTCCCTTCATAGATGAGCCCCACCCTCTGGTTTGTGAGCCTGGACATGTTGTTTTCTAAAACCCGCTCACCTATTTTCTGTTTGATGTTATCAAAGGACCATCTGTTTGGTGGTAGTGGGCCCCGTTGTCCTGTTTTCATGCATCATCCTAAAATAAATTTACTGTACTGTCAGATTTACAGTACTGCTGTACTGTCAAGGGGGTGTCCCCTTATTGTCCCCTTTCCCCCAATTATAATAATTTAAATAAGCCTGTGCAAGATTACAAACTCATCTGTTACAAACTTTAATATTATTTAAGGTCATTCTGCAGAACTACAGGTACCTTTTTAATTCTGTCCTACAGACACAACAGTCTGCTATCATGATACAGGAGGAGGAGTTTATTATATAAAACCTGAGGTCTGACAACATGAAAGCACTAAGTGCAGTTTTGTGAGAGTCACTATAATGGAAATGCTGGCAGAGAAGGTGTTGAGAGAAAGGGCTCAGGCCGAGTGTGAGTGAGCTAATGGTAGACTGAAAAGGATGAAATCTGCTGCAACATTTTCTTGCTATCCGAAGGGCTGATATAAACAGTGAGGCTATGAATACATGTGAATAAAAATGTAGAATATGAGCGTGACAAGTCAAACCAAACCATGAAAAGAAGAGCGCAGAGACATACATGTGGGCCATATCTGGGACTGCGAAGCTGTGGTGGGCTGGAGCCTATCCCAGCTTTCATGAGTCGGGAGGCAGGTTACACCTAAGCCAGGTCACCAGTATATCTTAAGGCTAACAAAAAGAGTCAGCCACCTATTCAGTTTCACAGTCACACCTGTGGCCATTTTAGTCACCAGTTAATCCAACATGGAAGTCTTTGAATCGTGGGAGGAAAGCAGAAGACCTGGAGGCTTCCCAGCATGCACGGGAAACACATGCAAACACCAGGAAAAAGACGCTATTCAATACGATACTTAATTTTTCCCCTTTTTTTTTACTAAATCACAAGACTACATCAAGAAGAGTTGAAACAATGAATCGACTACTTGACTTAATCTTCTTGGAAACGATTTCTTTCACTTTTTGCATAATAAAGTGTAATAAATTCATAAGGTTTGGAAAATTGATTGAAAAAAGAGTTGGCGATGTCACAAAAGCTTCACTGCGAAACACTGAAAATATTTTCAAGGAATCCTGCAGTTAAAATACTACGAAAATAACCCAGACGTGTAACTCTATTCGTAGCCATGTTATTGTTACAGGAGTGAAATCAGGTCACTGGGTCAGTGTTGCCTCAGTGGAAAACTCGATATATTGATTTCTGTTTACATGGCGACAATTCATCCATTTGTTATGGCACAGTGGACCCTGACAGGCCGATGGATGACCTGAGT